TGCTTTCTTTTTTTTTTTTGCATAACTACACCACATACAAATGGAGCATATAAGCTTAACAGGACGGTAGCCAAGATTCTAGAAGTAGGAAGGTCAAGAGTGGAGCTGCAAATTATTTTTACATTTACACTAATTGATTAATTGTTTGGTAAATAAATTATTGAAATAAATGAATAAATAAAAAAAACTGAAATGCCAATCGTTGTTTTGTTATGATATCTTCAAATGTCAATTTATAATCATATAAACCACAGCAAAGCGGCAAATCCCCACTACTGAGGAACTGGAATCAGCAAATGTTGGCTTTTGTGTTTGAAAAATGATTTAATTGAATAATTGATTATCTGATTGGTTGCCAATCAATAATTGATGCACCCATAGTCAAAGGTGCACAATCCCCTGCTGCTTCAGAGACCAGACTGCTAGGTGAACTTTAGCCAGAGTCAGACTCAAACACCATGTGCAGCCTAGCTTTTAAAGTCGTCCTCTGGCTCTGTAAAATCCACCAAAATCTCAGGGACAACAGCAGCAACATGATTTTGACGTTCATGAAGCCTTGAACTTAAATAAACGTGTTTCACAGCAGACATTTTGTTTTGTCAGAGCAGAAAAAGCACAGGTGTTAATAATCATGGCTCCATTCCTTTTAGGTCTCCCAGTGGACTCTTGATTTGGAACAAGTGAATGGGATGCAGTCATCATTAATGTTTTACATACAACCTGTGCTTTTTGTGCCATGTGAAGTTAAACTCTCTGTGGTGGAGAAGGTCAGTCATGATAATGTGTAGACCCACTGTGAAGTAGAGTTTTCAATGACTTAAACTCAGTCTCTTCCAGTTAGACATATGCTCAATAGGTTGCTATGCTTCCGTTTGGAGAAGCAACAGGGAACAATTTATCAAAATGTTTTTCTTCTTCTCTTTCTTTTTTTTTTGCTGATTTTGTTATTTATTAAAACTCCTTACAAACCCGTGCTACACCTACACAGGTTTCTTCACTTACATGCTCTGATCAGAAATCTTGTCAGGGCTGTGTAGGAGTTTACAGACTGTGGTTCAGTGACATCTGTCTCACTTTCCTGTCAATTAAGTTGAGGTCTTGCACCTGTAACATTCTTATTAGCACATACAGATTGGTTACATCGTTTATTTACGGAACAACTTGAAGCTTAGCGAGAGCCGAATTAGCCACAGTAAATCAAAACAATATACAATTACTAATTGTATTAGTCTGTTCTCTGGAGAATATGGTAATAATTAGACACTTGTTATATTTTGATCCCAAAACAACAGTTTCTGTTGCTATGCGCCCATGTATCATGACATGTGATGTCATGTGAGTTCATCTGAGAACATAGTGTTCATTTTTACATGTCAGACACCAGTAATCAAGATAATAATAATTACCTAATTGTATTTAAGTGCTGCTTTTTGCATGCAGGCTTATTGGAACATCTAAGTTTAATTGAAGTACCAAGGCTCAGGATAAAAGTTAAATTGTGTTTCTGTCACAGATTTGTTTAGTTATGAAATACATCATTTGAAAGGAACGTTTTTTCTGAAGTTGAGTGCTTTAAGATCCAACAGAAAAGTGAAAGACGTCTAGACCCTCTCCAACACTGACATGATTTTGCTTTTAAATGATAGAGAAGGGGGCGTACTGGCAGCTCACCTGGTTAGGCACACACCATGTATTGAGGCTGAGTCATTACTGCAGCAGGTTTAAATCAAGCCCAGGTCTTTGGCTGCATGTAATCCCGTCTCTCTGTCCCCTGCCTTTCCTGTCTCTCTCCACTGGTATGATCATAATAAAGGCAAAAATGTTTTCAGTTTACATATACTCAACAGAATATCATCAACTTTGAACTTCAGTTGTTGATATTACCTCTGTGTTCTGAGAAACATCATTTTGGCATAATGGGTTTTCGTCTTTCATAGCAGTATAATCATTTTTCTTTCACATGCAGTTGCAGAAACAGTATTTTTCTGACGCCCTGTGAAGGCAGCATCAATTCAGATGAACTCTGGATGATCAGTGTAGATTTGTGACTATGGGTAAGTCTCTCCCAGAGCTAGAAACAAGAAAGCCAAGACAGCGTCACCTTAAATTTTTTTCTCCAGTGACAGTAAATGAAAGAGCAAATTTGTGGACAGTGAAGGTTACTTGATTTTACAGAGAAACAGTCAGATTTTCTGTTTCATGACTGCTGGCAAAAGAAGCAAAGTGTCTGCAGTTCACTGTCACTGAGGCAGCTGCATGTTTTCTCTGATGAAAGCCTCGCCTCTATAGTCTTTGGAGGGTTAAACTCGTCTTTAAATATTGATCATCTCCATAGAAACTGTATAAATATGATTGGAATTAACAACATACTTTAACATCCGAAAGTGAGATGATTTTCACTTGAATATCACACTGTTTTTCTCCAGGCTGGGTGGAACTAAAACACGTGGATCTGCGGATAGCTCTGACCTATAATTAAGAATATTTTTGACTTCCACTTTCAAAATTGCACTTCTCTCCTTCCCTCTGTAGGTGCTTATGGTTGTTCAGGTTGGCGGACTTGTTATACTCACAGAGCATTCCTGAATATCTCAGAGCTCCCAATCTATGTGTGCAATTAGGTCATGGGGGTAGGGCCAGGTGCTGATATTTGCTGTAATCAAAAAATAAATGTGGCCTGTATAACCTCCACTGGGTTACTCCTGTAATTATCGTTTGTTAACATTAAATTGCTCACCCTCAAACTTTCCCTGTATGAGAAGGAGGCGGTGGTGCTACAGTGTGTGCGTGTATCTGTGTGTGTGTGTGTGTGTGTGTGTACAAAGGATGATAAATTGCAGGTTTTTAAGACCTCCGTGGGTATGATTTCTATGAACCGTAGCCCCACACAATATAAATACCATTGTGACAATTTACTTGATGGACTGTGCAAAATGCAGTTGTATGCGCTCACTGTACAACACCTCATTCCCTCATTTTGTTTTTTTATGTCACACTTTATTTTGCCTCTACAAACATGACTGTGTCTGCACTCATACTGTGTGTCTCACTTTCCCCCTGCACATACCTAAAATGCTCTATTACCTCTATTTTTCACTGTCTGAAATATTACTTCTCTTACAATTTAGTATACACTCTGATTAACTATCATGAGTCTCTCCTCTCTGTTGTGGCCTAATCAGGTTGTTTTAACTGTGGTAAACTCCAGCATCAGATACATTTCTCACTTCCTTGAAAAGTATAGAGCAGGTAGAGAACAGCGAAACCAAGGATATTAAATTAAACTGTAATGTGTAACATGATTAATTTACAACACATGACAAATTTGAAAGTACCCAGGCTTTTATTATAGTACAATGTATGCCAGAGCACCTTTACAAGATCATGGATGAAATATTTATTACACAGATAATACATCATATCTTGAAGATAAAGAAATGTTTTATGCAAACTAGAGCCATTATCACTCAAACTGTGTGATGAATTTTATTTTTCCTCTAATGTAATCATATTTTCAGAATCAGGTCTGGACGGCTGGCTCAGAAACATTCAATTCTCCGTATACCAGCCAGTAATTCTTCAAACTGATATACAGCAACAACCTTGCTGGCTCCTGCTGATAAGTCCAATATTCGCATGAGGGAAATATCTGCCTCTTTAGCTGCTATGTTCACCGACCAATCGCTAACTTTGTCTGTCTTCTGTTTGGTGTTGAGCTGGTATTGTACCGGTGGATTTTAGGGCTTTTTAGCTACAAACATCTGCCCACTGTGGCCAAAAAAACACTATGTGAACTGCAGCTGAAGGTTGTGCGCCTCAAAACCAAATCAATATGCTAAAAGATGCTATAAAGCTTTGTAGAGCTGAGAGGAACTGCAGAGTTTGGTCATAATTCTCACTACTATCATCACTACGGGGGAAAATCTTTCACATAGCTGCTTTAAGGATGAAGTATCTGTAAAATAATTACAGGCTTACGTTAAATATTTGACAAGGTTATTTATAAAGAATTTATAAAGAATATCGATGATCGATTTCTTCCTATTGCTTTACACATTAGCGTGTTTTTGTAGAAAATCACTAAACTGATTCACTTAAGTGGCAGGAATACTGAGGAAAATGTGCTTCACAGCCTGAAGTCATAAATGTCAAAGTCATCACTGCTGCTCTAGTCTTATTGTAACAAGTTGCCAACCCATTTTTCTTTACTTCATGCTAGCACTAAAAAGTGGACGGTTTGCTTCAAAATGTGAACGAGAAAAGCCTGTAATTTGTGTAAAAGCTCTTAATTTCTTCATTCAAAGCATCTTAACGTTGCGTTCCACGTTTTCACACTTTCATTCATTCATTCATCTTTTCATGGTCTATTCTTGAGAAAGCCAGTTCAATGTGATTACATACAGCCATAATTCTCACTATTATTTCATTATATTTTATTTGGCTTTGCTCTGTCTTTGTACAAATGGATGCTGCAATGACCCAGTTTCCCAAGTGTGATCAATGCAGTTTCATCTTATTCAGTTGACTCCAGTTCCTCAGTGCTGCTTATGAGCGGATCAATATGAAAGAGCGAGGGAGAGGTCAGGTCTTACTCTGGTGTTTGGTGACTCCGCGGTGCCAAAGCCTTCCAGAGCGCAGTGGTTTGATAGCTTGTTAGCATGCATGACGATTTCATGACAGGGTCTGAAATGCAGAAGAAGACACACTCACTCTAGATATAAATCTGTCGCATTTTCAGTTGAGTCTGGTGTAAGACTTGCATTGTATATGTACAGCAGTCTTTGCTGTTGCAATGGTTACAACTCACCCAGTGTTGTGTTCCTCTGAGTAAAACATGCTTTTAATCTTCCTCAATGTCTACATCACGGATGGATGTTGGAGCAAGTCTCAAATTACTGTGAGTCTCTGACTGCAATTATGCCAAAAAGGGAGCAGGCAAAGTTCAGCTCAGTTCAACATTAAGAGTGAAGACACAGAGAGAGGAGCATACCTCACAAAGCTCAGATAATCATTTGTGAAACAATCCGGCTCACCTTTAGCTCCCCGCTGTCAGCCTCAGTCTCGTCAGGATTGACTGCATCAGAGAGGTGTGTGTTTACGTTCCAAATTTCATGATCTGGCATGCTCAGAGGATGAATCAGAACCTCATAGGGGACAGCAGGATGCATCCAGGAAGATGAGATGTGGATGCTCCAGCTCTCGGACTGCCCAAAGGTCCCTGTGGACAAAGACCAAAGTTAAAACTGCGGCTTCTTAAAATGTCACAATCTCTGAATCCATTTGATTTCTAGCCTGTATATATGCATGTATATGAAGCTATAATTTTAAGGTAATATTGTGTTTATGGTAAGTGTTACAAAATTAATTTGCGTTTTTTTCTTTTAGTTTTTTTTTAAAATTGAAACACTGTAAACCTGGTGCCAGGTAATACTCTAGCGTAGGAGTGCTGGTTGTTTACCAGCTCTCAGACAAAGTATAATTAAACCATGTAGTTTTCAGCACGCACTGTACTTGATTGGTACTTAAAGGTGGCAGGGCACGTACACACTGTACAGAGAGTGGGAGGAAGGATGGGGACCACAGGGGCCCAACAGTTCATTTTTACCCCAGGGCTCTCTTGTGGGTTAATCCAGCCATGTGTACCGTCACACTGAAATGAACATGCCCATAAATAACAGTTCTACCTTAAGCACTGCACTGCTCAAGATTAATGTCGTTTGCATGAACATTTATAATGTCTGGAACGAGGGGATTGACGGATGAAAAATGACACCCACCTATGAATTCTCCACGTGTACTCCAGAGGCGCACAGTGTAGTCTGTGGATGAGGTAAGCACCACTTGATCATTGTCAACAATCTGCAGGCTGGACCAGAATAAAGAAGCATGAGACGAAATGGGAGAAGGCATTTCCGGAAGAACACTCTATATCATCCACTGTGTTGGTGCATCTGATGGCAGAGGCACCCCAGGCTGCATCTCACCTATACTGATCATCTGTTTAAGACCTTCCCACACACAATCTCTTCTACACTTTGTTTGTCTGCTGCAGCAGGAAGAAGTTATGCTGTTTCTGCTTGCTACCGACACCCCAGACTGAGGATGACTGGTTCCGTTAAGGATACCTATCCCAGGATACAACAAGCTAAAAGTTAAGGATACGACCCAAAGTTGAAATGCTGCAGCCCGACACTAATTGTAAGCTAATGACAAGAAGGATTTATGATCATAAAAGACGTGACTGTCTTTATTTCACATACCCAGAAACTCTGCTGGTGTGGGCGCGCCAGAAGTTTTCAGCTGAATAAATGGGAAAAACAGAAACACTCTCAAAATGTGAATTAGCAAGTTCTGACAGACAGTGCTTCTTCATGTTTTCACTTTATGTCTAACCAAAGGCAAGAAAAGAATGAGGCTAACCTCTTGGCTCTAGGGCAAACTTGTTCATGTTGTAAACATAGATGTAACCAATCTTGTCGGCAGCATACAGCAGTGTGTCCTTGTCTGTTTTAGCCAGTTTTGTAATCTTTTGTTGGAACCTAGACTGCAAAGTGGGAAAAAAAAGCAAGAGTACCTTATGTCATTTCACGGCCAAACAGTATCACGAACGGCTCATTTTCATGGCTTAGCGATGGTTCTCTTCCACCACAAAGTAACAGAATAAAAAGGACAAAATCAAACACTAATACAAAAGAGTTTCCCCCCCTGTGGTGACTAAATGTTTCCTTTCCTGCAGACAGATTTAATACATTCCTTTGGATAATAGCCCTTTACCAATAATCAGATATATAATATAATATAAAATGTGCCAGTCACGCAACAATTTATAAAGACTAATCATGAATAAAGTACATGAAAGTAAGGGCACCTTTAAATTAAGAGCCATTGTTGCTAGGTAACAAAACACAAATGGGGTATGATAGTGAAGCAGAAATATTGGTTTTAGGGGGTTTTGTGCGTCTTTTGTGGAAAATGTTAACAGTTTTATGTTACATAGCCTAAAAAGAAAATTTCTGCTTTCTTTAGGAGTATTTCATAGGCACATATCCAGATGCCCCATATTCATCCACCACCCAAAACTAAGGGTGTCTGCTTTGCATAGCTGCAAGGAAGGTACCTTCTAGTTGAGCTAAGCAAAGAAACTGTGCTGAAACTGTACACTACATATTAGCTTATTCTTTAATCAGCGCTTTTGGAGACAAGAGAAAGGAAAGTAAAACTAAAGCTCTATTCCTTGATATCTAAAAGTCAAACTGAGGAACGTTGTCTAGTGAAATATCTTACAGCTTTGAAGCTGCTCACAAACTTTCCTCCACTGAGCATGTTCCAGATATTTATACAACCTTTAAAAAGAGAAAACACATAATTAACACTGTATTCAAAGAAGTTGAGGGAGGCTGTAAAGTGCAATCATGCGCCGTAATTAGCACTGTTTATCAACACTGACCCGTGGTCCCAGAGGACAGGAGAGCTGTAGCTGAGGAAAACTGCTGCAACTGGAGGTTCTTTAGGAAAATGATGCTCTGAACACTTGTGTCCGTCCCTACATAAAGGAGATAAATGCAACATTCTGGTCACAGGGGATTTTTATCAAAAACAGTCATCACTCACTTTGAAACTCCAAAATCACCTTCAACATTTGGGTGTTCAGCTGAACGAGGACTGACAAAGCGACACTGTATACGTCCAGAAACCACGTTCCACACTATAATCTCGCCATCATAACTGCCGGTAGCCAGGAGAGTCGGAGGACACTGCGCCACACAAAGGATGTCCTCATTATGGCCGTTTTTCTGAAGAAAAACAAAATGTGAGTCTCCCTAACAACTGGAGCATAAAATGTTTATTACTGCCAAGACAAAAATAATATGCAGTTCAACACACCAGATGATATTCATTTCCTTTTTAGTCATGACTGAGTTATCATAAAGGATTCCTAACTTTGCTTGCACATAAAACTATATAGTGTATTACTTTTTCCATCTCTTCCATCTTTTTAGCTGTCTGTTGGAAATGTGTTAAAGCTGCGAGTTCATGTCTTAGCTGGCAAGGAAAGAAATTTGTGCTGTCTCCTTCTCTAAAACCAAATTATATGTTTGTAACAGATGAAGCCTGATGTGGCACTAATGTAGAGAACACTTTGGAAAAACACGCTCATTTCCTCTCCTCAAGAGTTAGATGAGATCATTGATACCTATATCTTGTCTGTATGGTAAATATGAAGCTACAACATCAGCCCACTACTTTATCTTAGCACAAAGATTGGAAGCAAACAGCCTAAAACAACAGCATGTTCGAACAGAGCCAACCAGCTAGCAGCAGCTAGCAGTTTCTCTGCGTTTTCAGCTGATGGTACCAGACATTTCACAGAAATTTTTTACAAAACTTGAACTTATATCCCAAAATACTACTATTTCTCGAGGAGTTTGCACACATAACAGAATAAGTGGACGTCTCAAAGGTCACAAATCTGTTAACCAAAAACTTCAAGGAAATGTTTTTCTGAACAGCTACAGAGTCTCATTAAACAGCGGAGAGGGAAAATGTTTAAAGATGACTTATTTCAAGGAACATATGAATATCAAAGAGCTTTAACTGACGCTTTGGTTTCAGCTTACAGTACTGTGGCCAAGTGTGCCACACATTTTGGATCAGCAACTGACTTGATGTCAAAACCCCTGAGCGAGCTGACAAGCCAAACATTACTCCTGCCGCTGCACCTCACACTGATACAAAGTGATTCATCTTGTTCTTTATGTGCTTATTTCTCAGTGAACCCAACAGGAATATTTGCTTGGAGCGATGCTGCCAACAAGAAAGTACACACCATGAACCAAATCAGGAAAAGCAGATGGCATTTTTGAACCTATATTATACTCGATGCCAAAGCGAAATATTTATCTGAACTGGGCCATGTTTTAAAATTTTAATGAGGAGCAACACAAGACTGACCATCTGGAGGAACAGAAAAATTCAGAGAGAACCCGAGGCTCAGTGGATAAGGGAAGGAGACCTATATATATGGAACAACCCATTGATCTTCCTGCTGTAGGCCATTAATGAAAAACTATTTCAAAAGAGGGCTCTGTAGATAATCAAAGGGGTCTCTTTTCTTAGCGGCCACTGTAATGCAATCTTTCTGCTCTGTTAACAGGCCTTTTATGGAGTGAAAGTAACCACCAGCCATAATGAAAGAGATGGCATGGGACTAAGCATCAGATCTTTCAATGGATCATTCAGCGTTAGTCAGAATCAATTTTCCCTCTTTTTTAACTATTAGAGGTAAACTGACCACGTCATTATGGTAACATCAGTGGAAGGAACTGTAATCTATTGTGTTATATTATTGGGGACTAATAATAGTACAGCTTTGAGAGCATGATTCACCTTCAGCGAAGAAGGTTGTATTCATCATTGCAAGGATTTTACATGCTAATGGAGTCAGATTTTGCTTGGTTTTAAGTTCTTATGTGAGGAGAATTTTGTTTTTAGTGAAACATTCTTACATCTAATGGCAATGGTATCAGATGGTAAATCGATAATGGTGATTTTTTCCTCCAGCGCTGACATCAGGTCAAAATGTGTCCCACAAAATCTGCTAAAGCTAATGACATTCACATCAGTCTCACATGTACTGTGTAGTGCTAATTAGCATATGTTAGCATGCTCACACAAAACTAAGAGGGTAGATATAGTAAAAATTACATCTATGAACAGCAGCATGTTCTCTTTGACATTGTGAACATGTAAGCATACTGACATTAGGCTTTAGCTCAAAGTACTGCTGACAAAATGATTCATGATGAGAAATAAAAATTCAGTGGGGCCATCAGCTATGAGACATGCCTTGGATTACAAAACTATGACTATTCAGAGGGTTGAATGATCAGCATTTGTAATGGTGACATTATTTCTTGAAATATTGTAGATATTTCCCTTTACTATAATATTCTTTTATGACTGATATAATTTCATGTACAGACAAAAACACACCACACATTGTTGTGGGAGCACAGAGGGCATTAATGCACACCTTGTGTTCTGAACTGCATCAGTGATAAAAACCATCCTTACACTTCAGTGAGAGCTCAGATTCTCTGGAGCAGAGCCTGTCACAAACTACAGGTGTACTGGCAGGTCAAAGCTTGGCTGCACTGGGAAAAAGCTGTGTGATGTGAAGACATCAACAATGATGTGTACAGAAAAAACACACACACACATATATATATATACAATATAGATAAAGGAACATGATACAGTATGTATTACTGTAATACAGTATGTAATAGAAACTGAGAGAAATGGAACAAGGAAGGAGGAGGGATAAAAGGGAGATGGGGGGGTGTGGTAACTCACTGCTTGAGTTAAAACATTTTTCTGCAGGCGGTGCTGCACAGTAGGGCAGAGATCAGGGAGGCTTTGTTACCCATCTCTCCCTGAGCTTTCCATCCAGTTAGCAAAAACGCTTCTTAGGACCAAAGACTACAGTGTCCTCCGTCTGTCTGTTTCAAATTAACGTAAAACCAGCAGGGAAGCTTCATCTTCACTGCTCTTTAGGTGTGAAAGTGACTGAGGTGAAGCACAGAAATGGTCAAGCACTCCTGCTATAAAATGTCCGTAGATGGGTTTGACAGGAGCAAATGGACTTTTATATTTTATTTTAACTAAAACAGCAGATGGAGTCTTATAATATTACACTATAATATTATAAATTATATCTATATTATTATATGTATACTATTATTTGATTACTGTTACAGATGCATTAACTCAAAAACAGCATTTTGATTGCGTATGTCTCAATGAAGGGGCAACTACAACTACTTTCTATAACAATAGATCATATTTTATAAGCTGATTATATGCAGAATGGTAGAAGAATAGAATGGTAATATTCAAAGTACCTCAAAATTGTACAGTACACCTAAGTAAATACACCTAGTAACTAGTAAGATAGTTAAGATAGAAGTAGATTGTCATTTCATTCTATAAAGATTAAATGAAAACCACATCTGTTTATGCAATGAGCATTATAAATAGATAGATAAGGTGGTAACTGTATAACTACAGAGCTAGCTGACACTGAGCGTTTGCCTGATGTGTTTTTGATCATGCATTCAGCTCAAAAACAAAAAGACACAATTTGTCCTCTCGTCGCTTTCAGCACAGAGAGCTGTGCTTTTTAGAAATGGAAGAATAACGACAGAATCTTGCCACCACTGTCATGCCGTCTGCCTGAAATAAATGTCACAGGGGGGAATACAAACTCTCATTTAGAAGCTGTTGAACTGCTTATTATTTTGTCCTGCCTGAACATCTTTTCTCAAAGTTATTGTCAAGACACTTTTTTGTTCATTAATCACCAGATCATCCTGCCACGAAGGCTTTGGCCTCTGGACATGATGGAGGTCCTCAGGTATGTCCTGACAAAATAATAGCAGACATTTTACAAGTCAATATAACATTTTGGTTTGGTCGCTTCACAAAAAGCGGCGGCTTGTAGAAAATCAAAATTCTTGTTATCCTGAAGATGACAAGAAGAGTCTTTCTCCATGCAACAAAAATGTGCACATTTTTCTCTCAATTGTCCGGTTTTGTAATGAAATTCAAAACAGAATATATGTGGCATGAACTATCAACCTTTTTTTTTTGCTGTATCAGAATGGAGCTCAGCTGTTAATGACAATGTAAACAAATGCAAATGGGATGCAATATGATGGAGGGATGGAGGAATTGGAGAAATAATGGGAAAGGGATTTCTGAAATACAACTGACAAATAATAGCTCAAATTCTCTTTTCTTTTATACTCACTGTGTAAATGTCAATCTTCCTGTCACGGCCGACAGACATCACATAGCTTCAAAAATAAATTGCACAAGCTCAACATGGATTCAAATTTACACTGAGACAAGAACATTTGCCAACTACCACATTATTACTTACCAGTTCCTGTGCACTTTCAGAAAGATGCAGTCGCACACCTCATGACATTCACCGTCTACAGGAAAGATTGAGAGTGGTTTTTCACGATTACTGGATAATATAGTGTTTAAAACTTTTTTTGTTTGTTTTCAGAGAATCATGGAAATTTACGATACATACCCCTCTTTAGTGTCTTTAGGCACTGACCATTGTTGAAGTTCCAGATCTTCAAACATCCATCTCTTCCGCCCGTGATGAGTCTGCAAACACAAGAACACACTGTAGCATGATAAAGCAGTGGTTAAACATGTTTTCCGAACAGTAAAACATTTCTCAGAGTGCTTCATATACTGTACCTCCTCCCTCTGAGGTCAAACGCCATGCACGTGATGGCAGACAGATCAGGTGTGCCGCCAAACTCAAAAACCTGACACCCAGAGTCAAAATCCCAGACTTTCACCACCTGGAACCGGTAACATTTTCATTCAGTTGTGTGTCACATTAAATGATAAGGATCAAGGTTCCTGTTTTAACACAAACGGGATTCATTCTTCAGTTGAAATGTGAAGCTGGTCATCTGTGTCAGTGATGTTGTCAAGTGCTAATTTACTCACGGATCCTTCAGTGCAGCTGACAACTTGACGAAACTCCTCACTGTATCCGCAGCACATTACAGGCTCATTATGTGAAACAGTGAGGCGACTGCAAAACTGTGGCCTTCAGAGGAAAAAGACACTAAACTGAATGACAGCAAGATGAATATTAAGGAGATGTAGTCGTCTCTGTAGAAAAAAAAAAACAACTTCAAATCTGAATCTTTTGGGTAAAAATAGGATGTTCAATCCTCCAATCTTCAAAAATCATTAGCTGTCGTACAATTTCACACACCATTATCCATAAATGAGCACCTTTGAATAAATCACATAGGCATGACAACCAACCTGATCTTTAGGGAGAGCACAGCCATACAGTCTGCTGCAATGAAAAGGGATTTCATAGCAGACGAATATGAGCATGCAGATATGTCACCATGAATCCCGCTCGCTTTGGGGTCTGCTGTAAACAGGCAGCACTGGTCTTGAAGATCCCAGATCTGAGATGGGAACAGGTGAACAGCGATGGAAGAAGCATTTGCATCATTTACTGAAATAAAAGTAGCAATATCACACTATAAAAAACACTGTATTAAAAGTAGAAATACTGCATATAAGATTTTACTTAGCAACTTGAAGTATCAAAAGTAGAATACTTATGTTACTAGTAACTTTCCACCACTGCTGGTGAACTGGCCACTGTATTTGTGCATTTACAGTGAAACAAAAGCTTTATTCATTTCCATCATTTGGAATAAAATCACAAGTGAAACGATAAATGAGTCAAATGAATCACTTTCACAGTGCTGTCGATGGAGACAGAGAAGATCTGACTGTCCTCTGAGGAGATGCAGAGGTAGATGATGGGAGCAGAGTGGCCTTTCAAAATACCAGTTGGTTTTCTAAAAACAAAAAAAGAGCAAAGAGGAGGTGTTTTTTTTAAGTCAATGTTAATTGTTCTAAGGAAAACCCACAGAACCCTGGTTCCTCACCCAGAAAAATGCGGGTTCCACATTCGTATGAGTCTGTCCATGCCTCCAGTGACCAACAAGCTGCGCTTCTCACAAAGATCAAAGGCCTTGACGCCTTTGTAAATGCTGAAAACTGTCTGGTCACATGATGCCCGGACCTGCGGAGTCCAGCTCAGTTGGACCTTCTTGGTCTTACCTTCATAACAGGCCTCTCTGATCTCACTCAACTGCTGCTCAGCGTCCGTTAAAGGCAGCACACAGCCTCAAGGAGGAAAAAAAAAAAAACGATACAAAGCATCAATCTAAACACGCTAAGGGTAAGTCATTATCAGAATAAATGAGCAAGCTGAAGCTGGCAAGTGGACATGTCCCACGTGGACGAACACACACACACACTCTCTCACACACACACATGCTGGCATTGATTGGTGAATTAGTGATAGATGAGTCATTATGAGTCATCCCTCACAGCTCTCACACCAAGCTGCCACATATTCAACACAAGTATAATTACTCACATTGTATAATAAAAGAACTCTTCATTTCCATCATGCATCATATTATTTATATATTTATTTATTTATCCGACTCTTTCATTAGTGAGACCATGTGTGTAAGTACATGTCAGTATATGTTTTACATCCAGGAGACATCAATAAAAATATTGGATTGGTTTCTCTTTTTCTTCTTGCGCTGAACATAATGCCAAAAAAGAAAAAAGCCAAAGAAACAAGTAAAACATAAATTACCTATAACAAGAGAAGAAGATTCGTCATTTGATGAGGAGACAACAGCTTGGAAACTTTGAAAATATTTAGCCTAAATTCAGAGAGAAGAGGATTATCTGTTCATAAGATTAATAAATAAAATGCCAAACCATTGAACAATATAGATCGTCACACAATTTCTACAGATATTAAAATGTATGTGTACATATATGCATGGCAATTTAAAATGTCACCTGTGTCACCCAATCATTATGAACCTTCCATCTGACAAATGTCACATTCGGAGAGACCACTGCGTTGTCGATCGCTATGCTGGGTATGTTTTCAGCCTTTGGTAATTTATTCCATAATCTATAAAAAGAGAAGTTGAGATGTACAGTCAGGCCTGAAACTGGTCACATTTTCTGAGCCTCACATATGTACACTACATATAATTTCCGTGATTGGCAGGGAGCCTATAGGAAGCAAAGCTATAATTTCCCACCACAGCTTTGAAGTGTCCGTGCTAGAACAGACTCAACCCTGCTATTTTTTGTCAGCAGTTCTTATAGTCCATGCTCTCTGCTCCAGTGTAACCTGAGAAAAATAACTGCATGATCACAGTGTGAAAGACATGCCATGAATCACACATTACGCATTCTCCAGCTGAATAGTTTGAAAGGTGCCACATTTAACTGAGAACCTTTTACATGGTGTTGGACACAATTTCAATGAGTCACCAAGTGTTGACTCACTAGAACAACTAATACATGATACAGGACAAAAACACGAAGAAGTCAAAGTAACTCTTAAATTGTTAAAAACATGAGAGGTGAATACCTTCTCTCAGTGTCGGCTGCTTAAATAAAACAAATTTACAATGGAGAGAATTAGAGACTGGACATTTTTAATCCTAATTGTGATAGAAAATAAAACATATTTCATTATACTATTGTAAATATCTGTCTGTCAAAGCTCAATATGTCCTATTTTTGTGATTTAATATTTTTTTACACTATAAAGCGGGAAATTGCATTGGAGTACTGGTGCAAAAAAAGATAATCTCCACTACTGGAAAACTACACATCTGATTAAGTCATTCACATTCTGTGTCTGACGTGGTATTTACTGTGAAATCTGCAATGACTGCTGTGACTCCTACGACTGTTATTTTGCTCAGGAATCACCGAACATACAGTGAATGCATCTCACTGATAAAAAATATATATATATATTTTTTTCAAAATAACAAATTCCTTCTGATTGGCCAGGAACATGGTCTGGTAGGGAAACAAGAAAGTCAACAAATCTGATTGGCTGTTATTGGTTGATGTCTCCTGCAGATTCAGCTGTGGAACCTAGTTGTGTAGAAAATCAAAGAATCTAATCACTGACTTTGAAAAGCCAGCAGACTGTTGCTGGAAAAGATGCTCCAAATGTTCTGGTTGGATGATACTGTAAAAATACTGTATACTGTATGTACTAATAATACTGTTATAATGGGGATATGTGTATATAGAAAAGCACAATTACCTGAGGGTATCTCCAGCTGAGGATATCAAAATGATAGTCACACATCCCTGAGACACAAAGATGAAAATTAACCTCAATCAAGCAGGATATAATAAATGATATTAGTATCATAACTAGCTGGGGTTTTAAAAAATGACCTACCTCTGTGTCTCCATACAAGATACAGCATTTATCAGGACCAGTGTAGCTATAAGGAAGAACACCAGCTATGATGTGGGACTTATTTGGACATTTTGAAAGGATGTTCACATGCAGCTTCGTTGCTCACCCGTAGTTTAATGTCAGAGGAACTGTGTCTAGTGCACTGATCTGGCAATAGGGCTCCAGAGTGGAAAGCTCATAAAGCTGGATCTCTCTGTCGCTGCAAGATAATGAACACATGCACAATAAACAAACATCTCATAATCTGGGACCTGCAGATGACAAGAATAATAAATCTACTCAATAAATGATCCGGTCTTTATGTCATTTTGTTACCACATTTCTTATTACCCTGTTCCGATCATCAGCTTGTTGTACTCTGCCATCAGAGTGAAGTCACTTGCCCACTTTGACTTCCTATTAGCAGGTCCTTCATTCTGTTAGAAATAACAAAGCCATGTGCTGACAAATCAGCTTTTCATAAAACTGTAGTCTACATAAAACTACATTTACACCTGTATTCAAAAGAATAGATTTGCAGTCATCAATTTGTGTCAATTTGTCAGAGATGCTTAGATTCAGCCATATTGGATATAATAGTGTAAAGTGGTCAGACATAATGCCACCTGTACACATGGACAATATTAAAGTCTATTGATATTCTGTTTTTTTTTCTAACTCATATTAAATCCTATGAAAAGCAAAAATGAATTTATTCTATTAACAAGTATTGCCTGGTATATCTTATATTGCTCACCCAAAGCACTGTAGTTTAGTTTGAGTCAATGTGACACACAGTGTCCTGCTGCTGTAAATACGCACCCGTGCAGCAAATGTCAGCTGCTAAAAATAGTCCCCAGCAAATTCACTGTTTACTCCTGTTTGAATAACATTTGCTAAAAAACTGCAGTGCTTTTCTGTTTAAGGAAAAGTGATCAATTGTTAAAAATCTAAGTAGTCTATATATTTGTGAGCCATTCTAAAAAGATTTGTGTCTTCAGCAGGAGTCAGTCCCACAGAGAAGGTGAGGAAATCAGAAAGCATTAAGAGACTGACTAACACCTTGTTGGTTTTGGTCTTCTAACAGGATGTGCTGACAGCGAAAAAAATATAAAATGACACCAGAGTATTCAGGTAAATTTACATACAAATATGTGTTTGGTCTTCTGGGGTTTAAGCTCAGGACTCCAGAAACAAACAGCAGCATCTTCTCGCACTGTTACGATAGTGCCATCATGGGTGGAGTGGATGTTGATGATGGGGATGCCATGTCCCAACGCCTTCATAGCGGCAGGCAGAGTAAAAGCCACCTGCTTTCTGCGTCTTGCATTTTCCTCCTTCTCTTTGTGCTCCTGCAGCATGTGTGTGCAGAACTGACCCTGCATCACATGACTGTGTGTTAGAGCTGTTAATGTTCAGGTTGTGAATCCTGCATGTCCATTGTCATGAAAGTGAGTAAAATTGTGAGATTAAAAACAAACTATACTCAGATATCTACACAAGAAATATCTTCTATAAAGCAGGACATAATTTTTCAGCTTTGCAATTCACAATCTATAATAAAAAGACAAACAATCCACCAAAAGAAAACTTTTTTTTTTTAATTGAGTCAAGTATTACATTGAGTTCATACCAGTGTAACCATTCCCACTGCCTTTGAGTCAACTCAAGTTAGGTTACAGTCAACTAGGCCCTAGAAAGGCTGATTTAGAACAAATCACTGTGTTCAGGTTTGTTCCAGTCACACTTGCTCCACAAATCCTTAATAAAATAATCATGTTATTTTTTCATATAGTGGCCTAGCTTTTTTTTCCTGGTGTTATAGAATTCATGAAAAAGTGTTAGAACTAAGGCAGTTCCCCGTACACTGAATAAAATGGTTGCATGCTCCACAAGAAACAAATATGAGTGCCATCTCACCCATGAAATTCTTCCTTGGCCTGAATAATCAATCTTCTTAAATAACCCTTGAATCTGTGCATTGCTCTGTGGGATTCAAATAACAAAAGAATAAAGTACAGTGACACTTATTCTAAATGAATCGACTAATTGCAAATGCTTGTCTTTAATTGCAAAGGAGCAAGACACAAGAGAGCACAGTGATGAGAGAGTCTGAGCGAGAGTATGATATAAAGAGAAATGTCACACTGTCTTACTGTGTTAGGCAAACCCAAACACTTCTTCACTATCCGTCCAAAATTCTTTGCATCGATGCATCTCAAGCCACCCGTTTCAAAGTCCTTTATGAAGAAAAATACAGTCAAATCTTCCAGGAATGAATGACCAGACTATAAAGTGTTTAAAAAAAAAAAAAAAAGTTCATAAAGTACCTCAAATGCTTCTTTCAGTTTCTGGAGGTTGTCGAGCGATATCGTCTCATCAATCTTATTGGAGTGAGGAAAAGTGATGACGTTATATTATGCAATTAGCCCTAGTTACTATCATGCAAGATAATTATGAATTTTACAGGAGAAGAGCACAATGCACAATGAAACAAGTAATTAAGTTTAACTGCCAATTTTTTTTTCTATCCACTTAAATCCACTCACCAGGAAGTTCATAAAGTCTGAGTGCTAAAGATACAAATTAAGGTTAGAGAGGAGACATTAACAGTGTATTCTTACACTGAAAACTGTGTAATTATCAGCACACACAATTAGGGCTGCACCTCTGAGAATTAGTGACTATCTGTTGTGGCCACAACAAGCCACCAACGGCTACGACACGTCCCTGAGATGCTCGCACAAGGCCAGATGACAGACTCTCTGCTCTCTGTGTTAATGGCCTTTCTTCAATTTGCCACAGTTTCCTGGCAACGGTCCCTTGATCCATGACACTCTTTGATCTATCATTAATAAATAACAGGGATAAACAGCCTAATTCCTCAAGGATGTAACTAGAGTCGAGGTTTCCCTGCGGTATCTCCTGAATAGCTGAGATAATTATTTAATCAGTCAGAGTGATGGGAGCACTGAAAGTGTTCACACAACCTCGACTGCTCTCCAAATCCCTTTATTAGAGCTACATAACTTTGAACTCCTGAGCCTGTTCCGCTTAATCTGTTATGGCACATTATTCATTACATTAAGCAGGAGAGTGTGACTGACATCTGCAGCTGAAGCCCACAAACTTCAGCTGGAACATTTGCACCAGCCTCCTACATCACTCTATCATTCCTGTCAGCTTGAAAGCTTGAATTTGAATCTGGTGGGCTCCTTTTAAGTAGTTGGCTCAGCAACTATGTTTGTTTTACTTTGGCCTGAAACATGGCCATCCCCGGGCTCTGGGATAGATTGTCCTGGCTGTTGCACTGTCAGGCTGCAAGTAAATTGATCATCAACTTGATTTAAAATGGCATTTTTGGCATTACCTCACATTCATTCAGCTACTGGTGAGATATGAGATGAAGTTGAGTTTAAGCACTTTGGAAAGAGTCTGTAAACTGGCAAGTGTAGCAATGTAACACTCTAGTGACACCTTGAGGCAAAAAGCAGCAACTTTAAGAAAGCCATGAAAACACAACAATTTAGACTTCAGATGACTTGTGAGATGCAGAGATAGGTTTAAACAGGTCCCATTTAACTCTCTATTTTCACTTTCTGATAGCTGTTTTGAGAACTGTACCTTGAGGCTGCAGAGTCTGCGAATCGAATCAATACTGTGGTGTTGCCGTCTCATGATCGGAGCCTTATCTCCGAGTGTGAAAGAGTGTCTTCGCCTGTTCTGTTTCAGCAGCTCTCGCATGAGCCATTCAGGCTGCTCTTTACTGTCCTCGCTCACTCGTCTCTGTGATGAGAAGTCATCTGCAACTATCTCACCCCGACATCCAGGCCCAGAGGTGTTTCTCATCCTCCTCCCAGTATCCTTCAGTTCAGAGAGGATGCTGGAGGAGTTGAGATTATATTTTTATTAAATGCATGCACTAGTCTTATAGTACACTGTTGCTATAGGTGAGTGTTTTGACTGTCATGAAAAGTATATGAGAAAGCACTTATTATGTCTTTACTCAACTTAGGCCATCCTTCGTGTTTAGAAACTCTAAAAAAGAAGTGCCAGTGGAAGCTACACACACATCAATGTAATCTTAAGACTGTGATTATGAGTCCCATATGAACAGACTTCCTGTATTACACTGTTACTACTCAGTCCTGCCACAGATGGCAACTCAAGCACCATGACAACAGCAAACATTTTCTGAAGAGGATAGAGATCAATGCACGACAACAAGACAAACAAAGGAAGGCCTCAACCTACATTATCCCCGGTCAGTGTCACAACTGTTAGTGTAAATAAGACATGCAATTAAGATAAATTTGGTTTTAAATTCAAAGTGTACCGAACATGCACTTAACATGTTAAAATGTGACTTACTCAGGAAAACAACAAAATAGCAAATTACCTGGTCACATGTTGGGTTTCTAATCTCCCAGAAGCTGAGGAAGAGCGAACCTTTTGCCCCAGTGGCATCCTTGTTAGATGGTGTCTCAAAATGTTGACTTCAGAGCAGCACAGTTCCTTAGTCAGACATCCAAACAGACGTTAATCAGACAGATCTAGCGTTAGTCTACCTGACACTCACTCTAGCATTACACCTGAGCAGAGCAGGTGGCCCCATGGTAACTAAGAAACCAAGAGTGACAACTGAGACTACAAAACTACAAACAAGACCCTGTGCTTACAGAGGGGGAAGCAGCTTTGTCACCACGTTAAATCTTGTTTAAAACCAACAATATATATATCACTGTTTACTTCAATCATTTAACTATTTTAGCAATTTTCAGGTAACTATAATTAAATCATTTGTGTTTTTTTTTTGTTTTTTTTTACATTTTATTGCAGCTGCCATGAGAATAAATACATCTAACAAAAAAATAAAACAAAATGAATATCCCTTTTAGAGAGACATGGAAAACAGAATTTCACAGAGTAAAACAGAAGCATGATGAATCAAAAAGTGTTACTGCTGGTGACACTCTGTGCAGACAGAATCCATTAAATCGATGCAACAAGTTTTATTCAGCCTTGTTATCGAGCTGCAAACAGACTGCATAATGTCAGATAGCAGAATATGGGGGCGATGAGACATGAAGGCAGACAAATATCTTTTCATCTCAGGGAGATGTTTAATTATCACACCACACACAAGTTACACGCAAAAATGAGCAAATTAATTCTGTGAGATGCTTTTAATATATTATTATTATCCATTTCATTTTTTACCCCTACCATAATTTACAGAAAAACAAGAAATACAAACACAGAAACACAAACCACTAACTTTAGCAATAAGGTTCAGAGAGGTCCTGGCCAGCTTGATATCCACTCTGGTGAGCAGGAATTAAGCACAACAGCTGGAAGTTTATTTACATTCTCTCCTTTGTCTGGATGAGCAGCTTTACTCAAAACTGTTCTCACAGCTTCCTTTTCTGCAAAGTCAAAAGATGCAGCTCATGAGTTGTCTGTCAGAATCAACACTCAAACATTCAAAGGCAGAAGATGATGCCAACCTTCCTCAGGTAAAATACTGTGTAACTGCTGCAGCTCCTGCGGCAGCAGAGACTTTATTGCAGATGTGACATTAGTGACTCTCTTTCCACAAAACCTCTGATAGGTTGTCAAATCTGATCCTTTCTGCTGGGTGTGGACATGCCTTTGCACAACAGTTGGAACTGCAACATAAAGAGGATCAGTCAATAAAAATCATTAGAACTGTGTTTATGTGCATCACCGATGGTTTTTGAGTGGACTGTACCTATACCACAGCACGCCGCCACGTTGCGATTGGTGCAGCTGTAGTGAGACTGGTTGCCCACAACGTCAGGTTTTTGCTTTAGCTGGTGATAATTGTCCCTCATCTCTGTCTCAGTAGAGAGCGGCACAAGATGCCTGCTGTGCAGAGGCACAAGTCTTCTTCCCGCATTATTAATGTGGTCATGTCCTGTCAAACAAATTCCACAACAAATGGAAAATAAACTGTAGAGAGAAATATTATGATTGCAGTGATGGTTTGATTTGGACATGCCTGAGTGCTTGGATGTCTTGGATGTTTTCACGTTACCTAGACTGAACCAACAGACTTGTCCTACCTTGAGGCATTCCCATGAAGTCACATCTGTAGGTGGAGTGGTACTGTGCTGTCAAGGCCTTACTGATCTCTCCCTCAGATGGGGGACATTTGCAAAGGAACCTGACATACTCAGGGCTTTGTGTGGCGTCCCTAGGCACCCTCCACATCATGAAAGACTTGGGGAAAACAGCTTGATTTAAAGGTTACAATACACTGTGAGAGGTCAAGCATGGCATTCAACCAGAAATGTAAAATTGAGGCTAACACAGCCTAAATGCCAACCTGACTGGGATGTGGGTTGTTTCTCTTCTGTCCTAAGGCTGTTCCTGTGTGAATGCATTCAGGTTTACAAGCTGGCTTCCAGCAAAAGTCCTTATTGTACACAGTTGAACCAAAAGGTCCAGACCTTGAATAAGAGTCTATAAATGATGTTGACGTTCGGCACCTACACATGCATCAAGATAGACATACAATTATACAGACAAACAAACAAATTCTACATGCCTATTCAGAACATAACCAGACGCCCATAAAACTTACAGCAGAATCTCTGCAGCTGAGTTTGGCTGATAGATGAATTGTCTCCTGTGACATGTTTCATATGGATCCCACCACTGTTTGCCCTCTACCAAAAAAAAAAGTATGATTAGATCACAACCCTGAATTCTTTATATGAAGCACAGTAAAGAATTTTTTTTTCATTTAAATCAACCAAGAAAATAACAAATTACTGCTAAAAAAAAACAAATTGGTTGTTGTGTTTTCCATAATAATGGTTGTGCACCAAAAGCTAAAAATGCTTTGTAAACCATAGTTTCCTCTAAAGATGCCTGACACTTTCTGATAGATAACTGCTGTGTTTGCATCTCTACAACAAAAAACTGTGCCATATAATATTATTTTTGACAGATGTTCATTTTTAGCATCATTCTTTAGGACAATATTAACTGTAAATTTTTTTTTTTTTTTCATTAAGAGAACAATATTCAGAGAAACCTCAGTAAGAAACAGCCTGATATGAGGTGGACAGAGTTTTGTAAAGTGAGAGGACACAATCACCAGTGGAAGTTATGCCCCTTGCTTACTCTCACACACAGAACAGATCAAAAAATACTGTAAGGTAATTAGTAGCCCATATTAGAGTAAGCCAAAGTGTAATAGAAATGAAACAAAAATAATGATACCTGCTAAAATCAAATGTAACATGATGTTGTGATTCAAAACCTAGATTAAGCTCCTTTTAAGTTAGTTAAGGAGCCTCTTGCCATCTTAACATGTCCTTGGTTTAGCTTTACCTTTGGTTGCCATTGGTGACCACCTTTTTTGCATTACAGTTGTTTTCAATTCCCGTTGCCAGATGAAAGTTCACTTCATGGGTGGCTTGCTGCAAAGTGTCATGTTAGAAAGTAGCACTTTAAGGTATTGGCTTTATCTACAGGCAGAGCTGATCGCAGCAGGATGTTTCTAGGTGCTGTGGTTATGGAGACCTACAACAATTGAATGGCCACTGTGAGCTGCTCAGCAGGGGTGATGATGCATTAAAATTTAAACATTGCCAGAGATGCCTTATTTATGTCTGTTGCTTATGTCTGTATGTTTCATGCTATAACCTTCAACTCCACAACATCTCAGAGAGAAATATTGTACTTTTTGCTATTCTGCATTTATTTGAAAGCTATAGTTACTATGCAGATTAAGCTTTTAAATAAAAACATATGATCATCTTATATAGGCCTAATTATGGACTGTTGTAAATTTAACTTTAAGGTAAATGCACCTAGTCCGCTTGTAGGAAGCTCAAATTTTTACATTTATGACATATTACAAGCAGAGGTCAGTTTTCAAGGGGTTTTCATCTAATTTGGTCAAATTATATCTCCTTCAAGTAGAGTATTAAAAGATTTTTTTTTAAAAAGAAAAAAAAAGATGTTAATGTCTTATTAAGAAGATGTTTTGCTTTATTTTCAGTGTAATCAATTTGCCATTGGTTGGATTTTAACCTGTGATAATAAATAAAAACTGTAATTAAATTAAAAAAAAAAACTAATAAATAACAAAAATTAGCTCCACCCAGACCAGCTACAGCATCAACTATTGCCTACAATTTAATATACAATAGCAATAATCAAGGAATATCATTTCATGTAGCATAAGATAACAACATAACACTCTAAACAAGTGTTATGTATTTGATATGTTGATAGGTACCTGGTGGAGTAATTTTACTTTACTACATTTACTTTAACAAAGGATATAGGTAGTTATTCCACTACACAATTCTGCCCTAGTTTCAAGTCCCATATTCACTCTACTTACATGCATCTTCACCTTGACTAAAATGAAACCACTGACTGTTTGTCATTCAAGTTTAGCGCCTCGCCCTGTCGTGTTTTGGACAACCAACCGTATAACAAGCAGGGCTGAGGCACAGAGTGTCCAATAAGATACTCAAAGGAGTTGGCGGCAGCCAATGTCCGACAGCCGGAGCCCAACACACAGGATAAACACAGAGATATCCGCTCAGCCTGAAGACCGCGCACTGACGGTGCTTTTCGTTCCATTGTTTGAGACGTACCGACGCACAGCTGGCCTCATATAGCGCTGTAGGGGTAAGCATCAGAAGTATCAACTTATTAACAAAGCGACTAATGTGTACCTATTTATGAATGAAACAGTGGACTGCGATGTGTTTCGCACAGTATACATCGGTGTTTTACATGTTTAGTCGCATGACTGAGCTGGATAGGATGCTAACACAGTAACAAGCTCCTGCTGATGTTAATCACAGTCTTGCTAACTTTGCTACGTAGTTACCTAACACTGACATTAGCTGCGGCCATACATATTAACTAAACACGGGGTAACTCCCCCAATGACCAAGCTGTTTACAACGCTCGGGTTAGCGTAACGTCCGCTGGTGTTACCAGCTAACCGCTAACTCGTATAGCCTGCTATGTTAGCCTGACAATGGTGGCTGGTCTGGCCGTGTTGCTCATCTTAAAAGCTAACGCTAGCTATAAGGAGAATAACTAGGTTAACGCCGCTGACTGGTGCTGTGGCAGCCCGGAACCAGTGATGCAGGCGGAGCATCTCTCACCGAGATCATCGTCACTTTCAGTCAAACTTTAAATCCAATAATCTGCCTTACAGGCCGTAAAGAGGCCGGTTAAAATTGCTAGAGGAGCGGAGGGTGTTTGAAAACAGTCGGGTGGCCATTGTTAGCAGTGTAATCAGCCATTTTAATAATCGTCTCCTGAAATGAGCTCTGTGGCACACCAGCTCGCTACTATTAGCTAGCCTAGCTGAAAGCAAGAGGGACACAAAGCAAGAAGGAGCCATAATGGCTAGCAGCTACCGAACAATCAAAGGCGGTGGAAGCTAATGCTAATGTATTCATCTGCAACCCCAAGCCGGTTAGCTGCATGTTATATCAATGAGATGCTGCTAGATGAGAAAACGCAGTGGGTTGTTTTTCACTGGGTCTGTACTATATCTGTGTGTGTGGATGGATGCTGGAAGGAAAGCAGGAGTAAACTAATGTGTAGTAGAATGTAGTCTTAAAAGAAGCATCATGTTGGCCTTTTCATACAATGGATCATCTGTCACCCCCACCCCCCAGATTTAAACAATAGATGGGACTGACAAAGCAGGAGGCAGACAGTTGATTAGGGGGATATGTAGATACTCCCACTGTCATGCATGAGTGGACATGGACACATTCAGTTAAAACATTTTTTTTTCTCTGTATTTAGAAAGCCAAGATGGTGAAGGATCCAAAGAAGCCGAGGGGCAAAATGTCCTCATATGCCTACTTTGTGCAAACATGCCGAGAGGAGCACAAGAAGAAACATCCTGATGCCAGTGTCAACTTTGCAGAGTTCTCCAAGAAATGCTCTGAGCGATGGAAGGTAAAATAAATAGCTTTCAATAGCTGAATCCTTTGGTGGTGTCTTTTTTTTTTTTTTTTTTTTTTTTTTTCTTCTTTTTTCTTTTTTCTTTTTTTACGTCTCTGAATCCAATATTTTGCTTCTAGCAGTGTGTGTCATCTAGATTGTCTAAAGCTGCTTGTGTTTTCCCAAAGACAATGTCACCGAAAGAGAAAGGCAAGTTTGAAGATATGGCCAAACAAGACAAGGTGCGTTATGAGAGGGAAATGAAGAATTACATTCCCCCCAAGGGCCAAAAGAAGAAGCGATTCAAGGACCCCAATGCCCCCAAGAGACCACCGTATGTACCATAATCAACTTGCTCCACACTGATAAGTTTTTTTTCTTGCTAAGTGCTAAGTGGATTATGATAGCTTAAACACTGGGACGCTTTTTTCCCCACAGGTCTGCATTTTTCCTATTCTGTGCAGACTTTCGCCCCAAGGTAAAAGGTGAGACTCCTGGACTCTCCATCGGAGACACAGCAAAGAAGTTGGGAGAGATGTGGAATAGCTCATCTGCAGAGGACAAGCAGCCGTATGAGAAGAAGGCTGCCAAGTTGAAGGAGAAATACGACAAGGTGAATAGAGATCGTACAATTGAAGCAAGACTTATTTTTGCTAATTTGACAAACATGTTTTATTGTTGAATGAATTGGGCTTCTTTGCTCTGAAGCATGTAAAGGAACAAGTTTCTCTGTAGCTAAAAGCACATTTGATATGCTTTCCACAGGATATTGTTGCTTACCGCACGAAGGGCAAAGTGGATTCTGCTGCTGCTGCGGCAGACGACGATGATGAGGAAGACGAAGAAGATGAGGGAGAGGAGGATGACGATGACGATGAGGACGACGATGACGAGTAGATTGCATCAGGATGGGACCTGAAGTTTTGTTTATGCCATATAACCCTAATATACTCAATTCACCATCTTGAAACAGAAGTCAGATTGAACAAGAACATGTGTATATTTAATGTTTTTAACATGTACAGTGTTATGCTCCTTTTTTTGTAAAGTTAACACTACATATCTTAAGTTGAGATTTTCTAGTGGTAGTTCTTTATCCCTGCCATATTCTGTAACAATTTAGGAGGACTACAAATCAGTATGAAAGTAACTAGTCGATAGGTGTTACAACTCAAAAATGAGATTTCTGAGTTGGTAGTGTATTTTTCTTTATTTTGAAAAATATTTTTTTATGTGCTGTCCCAATGTCTTTTTATTGTTCTTTGAATACCACT